ACACCTGAGCTCCTCCCCACACCTGAGCTCCTCCTCACACCGAAGATGTGATGACTAACAGTATCATGAGTTAGCACACACGTAATATGGTTCAGCCTTTTGAAATAATTGATAGAAATCAAAGTCCCCTAGTACATTCACTTGAGCAAAAAGGGTCACAGGCTGTATGAAGCTTTGTGCATGAGAGAAAACTTTATGACCTACTCACCTCCTCAAACCCCGCTCTTTCACAGTGTTACACCAAGAACCAAGTTTCTCCAAATCATAGCACCATTGACTTAGTAACCTGTGTCATCTGAGCACTGCCAGGCTCTGGTCTTGGGAATGAAGTGGTGAGCTGAAGAAATGAAGTGGGGACTGAAGAAAACCACCTTCTTTGAGAAACTCACCTTCTAGACGGGTGGTCTTGATGAGATACCAATAAAGATCCCCATGATAGACCAGAAGATTGAGGAATGAATCCCTCATGCATGATCAAAGACTGAAGTAGCTTTTTACCAAGGGTGTGTGTGTGTGTGTGTGTGTGTGTGTGTGTGTGTGTGTGTGTGTACACATAAACATGTTATTTATCATTTTGGAAGATGAAATTCTGACTAGAATAAACATTTTGGAACTTTGCGTTACATACTTGTTATTCAGTAAGTGCCCAGGAAATGCTTGGGTAGCAAGGAGATTGGCTCTCGATTAGTGGGAAACTGGATCACTTTGGGGGGTTTCAGTAAACTATTAGATTGGCATCACCATTGTGTTATTTTACATTTTTTGTTAACCTGTGTATATTTTTTAAACCTAGGTTTTAAAGTGATTGGTAGAGATTTAAGAAGAGCTGGGAGGAGTTCTCGGGCATTGATGTTTGGACTGTTCTGATTTCTGGTGAGAAACCTTTGGCTTCAAGTTCCCTACCTTCTGGAGCACAGATAACAGTAGCTTACCTGCAAGGTGTTTAAGTGTGTTTTCTCAAATTCCTTGCCTAAAATAAATTTAATTAGAACTGGGGGGATACAATCAAGTCCTTGAAGTTTGTTAGGCAGTTCCACCAAATCACAAGTAGGGCGGAGTAGGGCCTGTATATAACTACTAGGAGCATTTAAACACTTCAGATTCCTGTGTGGCTAGTGAACCATTTTCGTTCTGCACTTTAAACTTGTTTCATAACTTAAGTCCAGAAATTGACAGGTCTGTTTTTGGCGCCTGGTATACTCCTGAAAGCAGTTTTCAAACTCTTACTGACTTTGCCACTGACTGCTAATAGGATAGGGAGGTGTTACTGTAAAGGGATCTTTGTTTACTCCAGAAACAAGGCATCCGTCACGAAATCCCAAACCCAGTCTCCTCTTTGAGCATCACAGAGCTTCTGAACAGAAGGGAACTGACCTTCAGGCCACTCCTTTCTTCCTGCTGAGTGGTGACCTAGTCCATTTCCAGCTGGAACTGGGAGCTGGGAGATCAGTTTAGAGATTTTTTTTTGTGAGTTCTCTGTCTGGTTTGAAGTGTTGTGAATTTCCAGAATACAGCCCGTCTTACTGAGTACCAAATTAGCCTGGCAAGATCCTTATATGTCTGTGTAGTGTTACTGTGATGTCTAAAAATAGTAGAGCTGGATGGATGAGATACCCACTTAGGTTGAACTGAATCAAAACTCTTGCTTTTCAATTTTAAACCATAGTTTCTATATCTAGAAGTTGTGGGAAAATGAACTGAAGTTCAAAACTTGCTAACAGGGCTTCTTGCTGTCAACATTTAACACACAGCCTACCCACTGTGAGTCTCTAATAAATAATACGTTACTAGTTTTATAGTGAATCATACTGGAGACTTGTTTGCATTAAAATGATACCAGAGAATAAATAAATAAAGCTGTAAATGTCCTTTAATGATATCTTATTATTAACAATGCACATTAGGGATGATGGCTGAATGAATCAACTTTAATATGGCAGGATTTCTAAAAAGCCTGATAATCTGGTGAAAGTTCCCATGTCATCCCTTTGTTTAGCATTAAAGTTTTGATGTTTTCCCCATTATGACTAGAGACATTTTATAAGAACTAAAGGAAGATAGAAGTCAGAGAGTTGACAAGTGTAAACTAGTCAGTATACTTAAGACCTGGATGCCTTAATTCTTCTGCAGACACTACAAATGCCCACAGAGCATACTGTGGGTCCTGTTGATATGGCTGAGCCAAGATAGTTCATTCCTGCAGAGAACATGGTGTCCCTCTATGTGTTTAAATAGGATCCTCCTGGTAATGACCCTTCCTATTTTGTGCCGTTCAAACTTGTTCCTGTATCTTAAGGCATGGTTCCCTGTGCCTTAGAAAGCCCTTCCTCCCTACCCCTGTGAAAACGAATCACTGCCCGCATTCATTCTGTGAGCAGCCGCCGACCCTCATGGCTGTTTCACTCACTCAGGTTAGAAGTATCGTCCCAGTGACAGGTGAAGAACTGCACTGAAGATTGTTTGGGTTCCTGCCTTGGGGACTTCGGCTTGGACACAATTCATTTCAGTCTCCACTTTACCTCTGACTCTCTTTGTAAGGAGAAAAGTTATTTGCCCTTTCTGAGCTCAGTTAGCTATTCTGGAACATGGGGAGAAAAAGCTCTCTCTCAGGCTTGCTTAAAGGCTAAGCTGTTTATTATAAATCTCAAGATTCTCAGTGTTTAAGAGACAGCAATGAATTTTGTAATTTTTTAATTTCTATGTGTAATTTGTATATTAAGAGTCTATGAATAAAATAAAACAGAACTCTATTTAGACTGTGTATTTAAAGAAAGCCATAAGTTGGCATTTGGTATATGGTTAATAATTGATGAACATATACTATTTTGATGGGAGAAATTGACTTTTGTTATTATATGGTTTCTAACAAGAATGACATTTGCATGAGAAATACCATGAAGTTGTGTCTATAATAACTTTGTTTTAAAACCTCTCCAGGTAGCTTCCTAGCCCAAAGCTTGTGCCGTGAAATCTGAGACTTTGACCCAGATAATATGATATGAACTTCCTGTGAGTTGGGGCCATATCCTACTTAGATGAACGTGGGATTTTCAGATTTACTGAGAACTTGGTACTGTACACACGTTTCTTGCTCATTTGGCAAAGGTGACCATGCCATCTCTGCCTCAAGAAGGGGGTAAGTGGATTGGCTAACCATACTACCAGCTATGGGGGTGTTTAGACTACATGATATCCAAGGTTTGAAAATGTCACTATTCATAGTTCTTTTTTTCCTTGCTGGGGGAGGCATGAATGTTTCTGGTCACATTGTTCTTAATTTTAGGGATAACTGTTTATATTTCTTTTTAAAGTTATTCAGGGATCCTCTGCCCTGGAGCTGAATACAGAGTTACCTTATCAATGCACAATGAAAAGGAAAGTCAGAAAAAAGAAAAAGAAGGGAGTCATTACAGCAAATGTTGCTGGGACAAAGTTTGAAATTGGTGAGTGTCTTCCGAGTGCCGCACTTTTCGTGACTGGTGGGAAGACTGCCTTGGCTGAAAACAGTGTAGAGTTTGGAGAGGTGATTATCTTTTATGTAATGGATTTCTAAATTACTTCTGTAAAACTGCTGACAGGTTAGAAGAATTCTTTTCCTATGCAGTGGAGGATGATCTGCTTTAAAAAGATGCTAATTGATTTCTAAATTTTCAGTTTGAACAAAAATAATGCATTCAATTATCTTAGCTGAAAAAAAATGTGTAGGTTTACACCCAACATTGACTTTTTTTTCTGTAATGTTCAACATTATCAGCGATCTGATCTTATGAAGATTTGTGAGTATAGAGTGGATCTTTTCAGCTATTCTTATGTAATCTGAAAACGTCTGGCCTCACTGGTATGTGAGCGCATGAAGATCCAAGACCTAAGCAGCCAGCTGAGCTGCCTCCATCACTGCCAGTTCGCCTTGTGCTGTCATCAGGGTCTTGTCAGTAATGTCTGAAGCTCAGAGGATGTGTCTGTGTTTCTCCTGAGTAAATCTGGTCTCAGGCAGGCATTCTGCCCTGTTTCTGTTTTCTGCCTTTAGCCCATTAGAGGAATCTCCCAGGACCTGTTGCTACTGTTCTCACTTTCTATATATGTCCAAATGGCACAGCAGCAGCAGAGCCCGGAGCGAGGCCATCAGTGAAGGCATGGTCTGTGACAGTGGAGCATGGCGCTCTCCTCCAGTCTTGTGACACAAGATAGCAGTTTAACTCCAAACTTCATTCTGCTGCCCTTGGAAGCAGCTCCCTGGCCTCATTTAGATGGTTCCAGGGCCTCTTCAGGTGTCCCTGTATCCTAGGCATCATTGAAGATAAAGCCAGTTCTTCCTCCAGCAAACGGCCAAGAGCCCATAGGATTTGAGGCCAGCCATTCCTGGTTATCAGTTTTGCACCTGAGCTAAGTCAGCCAGACAATTCATGTCACTTTTTATATATCAGTGGAGCATGGTATAAAGAAAATTTGAGGGGCCTCTGGCAGTGGGATCAGTATCCATCCCTGGTGTATGAGCTAGCTTTCTGGAGCCCATTCTCTATGGTAGGATGCCCTGCTCAGCCTTGATTGATGCAGGGGGGAGGGGCTTAGTTCTGCTTCAACTGAATGTACCAGGCTCTGCTGACTCCCCATGGAGGAGGGGATGGGGGGTAGGTGGGGATGGAAGGATGGAGGGGAGTGAAAGGAGGGATGAGAGGCATCCCTGGTTGGTAGGTAAAATGAATACAAAATTCTTAGAAAAGTTCAACTATCAAAAAAGAAAGAAAAAGAAAGAAAGAAAGAAAGAAAGAAAGAAAGAAAGAAAGAAAGAAAGAAAGAAAGAAAAGAAATAATTAAAAATGGGCTCTGAAGCATTGCCATGTGGACACTGTTCTTTCAGGACCCAGAATTCACTGGAACTCAAAGATTACCCCAGCTGTATGACTCATCTTAATTTTAAACTCAAGATCTGTTGAAAGAAAAATGCCAGTATGTTCACTATAACATCTAGGCTAAGGAGGAGCAATATGGTTTGTAGTTGAAAGGAAACCCCAAGAGTAAATTTTTTCAGTGGGATCTCAGAGTAGGGAGCAGTAGAGAGCCCATCTCTAAATCCTTCCAGTGAATCTGGCTTCACTGTTTCGTACTCTGTGTAAGCAGAGCTGACTTGGTTTTGAGTGGTAAAAGTAACTTGAACTGGAAAGGTAAAAGGCTCACAAGAGATCTGATGGTCAAGGATATTTTTACCTTTCCAGTAAAAAGAGAGTGAATGTCCACGAGTGAATGTCCCTGTGTAGAGTTAATCTCAGCTCTCTGTGTGTTTTCACAGTACCAAAGTCACTTCCTACCCCCACTGAAAGAGCTGTGTTTTTGCTAAATCTAAGAGGACTATAACTGAGGATTTTTGGTGCAATCTAATTCAGTTCCCAGCTACTTTGGAGAATAATTTGGTCCTAGATAAAACTGCAGTCACTAATATGAGCTTATGTTGTAAGTAGTGGGTAGTTTACAGATGGAATACTGTGGATAACTGTAAGTACGTTTCCACAATGAATGTCTTAAAAGTTTTAACTCTCGTTTATTTAACCATTTCCTTTCAGTTCGTTTAGTGATAGATGAAATGGGATTTATGAAAACTCCAGATGAAGATGAAACAAGTAATCTTATATGGTGTGATGCCGCCGTTCAGCAGGAGAAGATCACAGAGCTACAGAACTACCAGGTGGGAATGAGTCACCAGCAGTTACTGTCAGGGGGGATACCACACCAATTCCATCCTGATTTTTCTTATTTGGCTTCTTAATCTGTTGACATATTAGATTTCAGTTCTGAGTTACCTGGGCAGCCTGTCTTGTTGCTAGCCAGTTGTGCTGACTCTTTGCACGAAGGCTGCATCACGTCCACACTTAACCTTTGGCTGATTCCTTTAAAGAAGTGTCCTTGGGAAAGAATTCTGTCTAAGATGATGCTTTGAGTTACACCTTAAGATGAGTGACAGGGAATGGATTGTGTAGGATGGACAAAGACCATATAGTATCACCTACGTGCCTCTGGCTTTTATCTCTATAGTGCAATGCAAAAGTGTTTAGAAGAAATGAAAAGCAATAGAAAAGCCTACAATGAATCTGAGACAATTGGCATTTGCTATTTGCCCTCCCTCTTTCTTCCTACCTTCTTCCTCTCCCTGCTCACCATTCCCTCCTCCTCTCTAATCCCCTCTTCCTTACACTCCTCCCTATTTCCTCCCCCTCCTCTCCATTCTCTCCTCCACAATCCCCTCTTCTTTCTCTTCCTCCCTATCTCCCCCTCTTCCCCATCCTAAACCCTTCCCCCTCCTTTTCCCCTTCCTCCTCCTACTTCCACATCCTCTTCATCTCCCTTCTCCCCATCCCCTCCTCCTGCCCCCTCCTCCTTATTACTTTAGATTCGGAGAATGCAAAGTAGAACAGATGGAGCAAATATTTTAAGTCTCATGTTATCAATGTCTGTGTTTATGTCTAGTATTCCAAAAGCAGTTTGGATATTGAATTGCCATTTGTCTAACACAGAACATTAAAACTTTATTATCTTTGTAAAGTCTTCTCTAGATTTCTTTAAAATTTTACATTTTTATTCTCATTATCATACTCTTTAATTTCACAAGTTAATTGTTAACTATTTAATTTAAAATCATTTATATTAATAATTTCTAATTTATTTGACAATAAATCTCAAAAGGATATATTTAACCGTGTTACAGTGTAAAAGAGCATGCTCATTGATTCAATAGATGTTAATGTTTGCCTTTTTATTTTTCAGAGGATCAACCATTTTCCAGGAATGGGGGAGATCTGTAGGAAGGATTTCTTAGCAAGAAATATGACCAAGTAATCTTCATTTTCTTGTGTAGAGAAGACCTGAGTAAAGCTGACACAATGGTTGTGGTGGTGTGGCATTGTGTAGGGTTGTGTTCAGATGAATGCTAGTCAGACGGGAGAGATGCGCAGGGCGGGAGCGGTCCCAGAGGCTCTCTGGTTGAGTCTTTACCTTTGCACAGAGCAGAACTGAGGCTCGGAGAGGTGACAGTCTTACACAAAGCCAAACAAAGAGCTCACAGTGGAGCTGGGCCCCAACTCGTTTTCAGAATCTCAGGATCCCTCTTTATTACAACTTGATAATTCTTTAGAAACAGAATAGTAGGTATTTGTTCCATTTTTAGATCAACCTCATGAGAAGTCATTTGTTGCATCACCTGCTGTATGTGTTTATTGGTTATTAAATATCTAATTAAATTCCAAGCACTGTACTAGGTACATGTGTACATACATGCTCATAGACACATGTACCCATACTCACTTGGGATTAGGCATTCATCTCCCAGGTCAGGAATCAGAATAAACCTTTCATGTGAAAAACTGGTAACAGGTACTCAAATGTTTTGTTGGAAAAAACTATGGAATTTTTATGCAGTTTACATTTCTGTTGGTTAGACTTACTTGGATTTTTTTTTTGACTTAAAAATGTTTAGTGAGAAACAGCAGTTTTGAAAAAAAGAGTATTCATAAAAGTTAATATAACATGTCTATAATTAAAGATTATATTGATATTATTCCTGTGAATATTTATAATTGTATGTCTATTCACAACAATTTCTATATCTAGCTTATGCTGCAAAAACTGATAATTTTTAAGGACATGAGATAAGTAAGATATATATTTGCATATGTAAAAGAAAGGTACCACATAGTTTGTTTAAAGATTATTGTTCTAATTAAAGCCTTAACTCACCTAATTTCAGGTCATTGTTAAGTATAATAAACACATGTAAAGGTGTTGAAATAAAAACTACAACATTAGCACTAATTTTACTTAAAAAGTCAAGCTATCAAACCAGTCAATATTATTCTTTTTTTTTGAATTGAGTTTATCTAGTTGTGGGATTAATGTACTTGAAACGAATGCAATTGGAAATTACATTATTCCCTTTCTCATCGGGGCAGTGTCATATCTGTGTACGTGCACACGAGAGAGAGCTGGAGGAGTGGGGAGAGAGGAGGGGTGTGTGATGTGTATATATTTGTGTGTGCAGGTGCATGCTCCTGGAAACCAGAGGAGGAAGTTGTGTGCCAGGCTCTGTCTTTCTCTGACTTGTTTCCTAGAGAGCAGGTCTCTCACTGACCTGGAGCTAGGCTATCAATAGCCCCGGGGATCCTCCCGCTTCCACTTCCCCATAGTGCTGAGGTTTTAAGGCCTCTGAGGCTGCACCTCATTACTTACTTAGGTCCTGGGGCTTTGAGGTCAAGTCCACGTGCTTGCTCAGTGAGCACCCCTGCACTCTTACCTACCGACCTAGCACCCCAGCTCTACATCCCTTAAGAAATCCTGGGGAAGTACTTGCCATGTGTCAGCTCTGAGTGTGTCCAGTTGCTTCCCCAGTGGCTGACCCTCTGCCCATTCTCCTCTCAGATTTCAGCCTCTGCTTTTGTGCGTTCTGTCTACGGTGATTCCATTTTCATTTTGACTAAACTTATTTGCAGACTTTGCTCATCTATCTATTAAAGACCACTACACACTTAGAAAGAGAAAAAAAATGTCTCTTTTGAAAATATTATCTTCAGGGCTGGAGTGATTCCTCAGATGTGAGGACTGATTACTGGCTGCTCTTCCAGAGGGACCTGGGTTTGAGTCCCAGCACCCACATGGCAGCCCATAACTGTCTGTAACTGCAGTTCCAGAGACTCTAATGCTCCTTTCTGGCCTATTCAGCACTAGGCACACACATGGTGCACAGATAAAACATCCATATGTATTTAGTAAATAGAGTTTTAAAAGAAAGCATTACTTTTAATAATATTTAAAAAACATTCTTTGTTTTCATTTTTATTGAGAATTGATAAGTATAAAATACTTAACATTTTGGATCAATCAAAAATTAACCTTTTTTTTCCCCAGGTCTGGTGGGACAAACTTGTAATCCTAGCTACTTAGGAAGGTGAGATAGGAGAATTGAGTTCAAGGCCTGCCTGGGCAACTAATGAGCCCCGGTTTTAAAATAAAAACTACAAAGAAGGTAGTGGGTACAGCTCAGTAGTGGAACACTTCCCTAGCACATGGGAGGCCTTGTGTTCTGTCTCTAGTATCTCCACTTCCCTTCAAAACAAACATCTTATATTCAGCAGCAGCAGCATCAAATTATGGATCACTATAGGTATAGTCCTAGCAAATACAACTATATCTTCGGTTGTACAATCACACAAATTGATGGTTCATTCACATAAAACTTCTATGGATTCAGAAATTTTCAGGTGGTTTTCTCAGAAAAGTGGCTAAACTCTAAAACAGTGGCATAGAAAGAAGTCAGGAATTGCTGTCTGTGGATGACTTGGGGGACTGGAACACTAAGAATAAGTGGCAATATAAATGGTGTGCTTCCTGAACCCTCCCTGAGAGCTAGTGACTAACACTTGTGAGCCTGCCCTTTATGCCACCAGTCTCTTATTACATGGTCGAGTATGCAAAGCCTGTCTGCAAATTCCCTGGAGCTCTGCAGAGGCCATGCTATCTCTCCTTGCTTCACCAGTGCCTAGCATAGTACACAGTCAAGTAAACATTCATTGTGTTAAAACATAAACCAGTGTGTAACAGGGCAGAGATTTTCGTCTCTTCAGTTTGTTGATAATCTCATTTGGGCTATTGTCTAGTATACAGAGATTAGAACAGATAATAGGCAATAAGTAAAAGAATAAATGAAAGAACAAAGGTATTTAAGTCTTCATAGTATAACTGTTACAAAAATAAGATTTATTAACTTTTAATAGAATTTACGTTTCCTCTTGCCTCTGATTTACAGAATGATCAAGTCTCGCCCTCTGGATTATACGTTTGTTCCTCGAACATGGATTTTCCCTTCTGAATATACTCAATTCCAAAACTATGTGAAAGAATTGAAGAAAAAAAGGAAGCAGAAAACTTTTATAATAAAACCAGCTAATGGTGCAATGGGTCATGGGTAGGTTATTTTTTTTTCTGGAAAATACAGTCATTGTAAAATGAGAGAGAAGATGTGCCCACAATTACTCATGGTTGAATAACATACTAGAAAAACAATAAGTTTCTAGCCATCACATTTTTATGACTGACTATGCTAACAGATGTCAGTAATCCAATTAAAAATACACCAGAGTTGTGAGATTAGAGAAATAATAACTTTCAGGGAAAATTTATTTCTTCATAAACACAATACACAGTTACAATAATTTTAATAATCTTGGATAATAAGATAAATTGCTACAGAAGAGCTAAATTGTCTTGGAGAACAAAGTAGAGAGATTTGTCTTATTATAATGAGGATGCTTGAAACAAAATGTATATATTCTCTGCTTTATAAATGTTTTCCTCCTGTAGCCTTGGTAACTGGGTTGAGGCTGCACATGACACATTTTAAGCTAGCATGCCAAAGAACTAGACAATTTATCCAAGAAAAGAATGCACAGCATAACATTTTTTATCCTCTCTGCTTATGTTTAGTTTTCTGTAATGCATTTTTTTAAAATAGGAAGTTGGCTGAGGGTATTTTTAGCAAAATGCATGTGAATCATTTGAACTTTTTAAAATTTAAAATGCATTCTGCAAAATATCCTTGGAAATGGTAGCTGCCCTGTTAAATTGTTGTTTAAAAACCATTTAACTTTTGAACATGGTGCACTGATTCAATCATACATTATGATCATGCACAGATTAAGAAGTGTGTTAGTGGGGATTTTGGGTCTCTTGATTATTGGCATGTTGGTTTCCTGTTATCCATTAGGGAAAAGGAAATTGGAGGAGGAATGATGATTGATATATGTTTCTCAGTCTTTGTGATAAAGTCAATAAATGTTTACTAATACTAGCACGATATATTTGATAGCAGTGCCAAAACAACGAGAAAACATTACAGAAAGGGTGTTCTCTATAGCATGGAATTATGTGCTGTAATGAATAGTGAGTGGGTGCAGGGGCTCCTGTTACCTGTTGTCTGTATCCATTTCCTAGCTACTCTGCCTAGTGTCCTGCTGCTGAAGACAGGCTACTGAAGACTGCAGCTATGACAGCTGAGCCATTTCTTCCTTCATTTGATCACTTTTGGCTTGCTAAATTTTATAGCTCATCAAAGACATTTTTTTAAAAATTTTTTTATGTTCTTGAGATATTTGCTTATCATATAGTATCACATCTTGTCTCTTGTCTGTCATGGCAATTTTTGTTTAGCTGGATACAAGTGTAACCACTTCAGAATACTGCTTGCTTTTATTTCCCCATCATTTTAACCTTCACTCCTTTGCATCTCTAATTCTAAAGGAGGTCTATTTTAGATGACATTGTAGTTAGACCAACTTTTTTAGACCCATTTCTCAAGCCCCACTTTTCAAGTTAATCTAGCGACATTTAATTTAGTTACTAGAAGAGACTGTTTTTCCTCTGTCATTTTGCTAATTGCTTTGTGTATCTATATCATGCTTTCTATGTTTCATGTAGTTTAAATTTTCTTCATTTCTTTGCTTTCTTCTGTGTAAATAGTAATTTTCCTGCATACACTTAAAATTATTTAGTCATGTCTTCTAGTATAGATATTTTGTGTTAGGCAAATCAAAGCAAATCGAGTTCCTTTAGAGAGCCCAAGGCAGATCAGAGTAAACAGCCACAGGAGTCAGGTCCACTTGGCCCACTTAGAACTAGCCTCTGGCCTGGAAACTGGGTTGCTGATAAAACCACCACTGAACTGGGATTGAGTGACGTAAGGAAACTAGTTAAAATACCCAAAGCTCCATTAAACAGAATCTGGCTGCTGGTTTTCTCCCCTACTCTCCATCTGCTCTTCCTCCGCTCTTGGTAACATACTCTCTGGGTGTTTCAAGCTTTTGGTTAGTTTCTGTGCCTCCACAGAACCGATTCTGACACTACCCCTCTCATTGCTCTTGTGGAGGGACAGAATTTTGGAATTTTCTGTAACACTGTTCTCTTCCTGAATACATAGATGACATTTTTTTCTGGCATCTCAATCTCCATATCAAATTATTTTATTTGTTTTCTTTAAACTTAGGATTTCATTGATAAGAAATGGGGATAAAATTCCATCTCAGGATCATTTGATAGTTCAAGAATACATTGAAAAGCCTTTCCTAATGGAAGGCTACAAGTTTGATTTACGGATTTATATTTTGGTTACATCCTGTGATCCATTAAAGATATTTCTCTACCATGATGGGCTTGTGCGAATGGGGACAGAGAAGTACATCCCACCAAATGAGTCCAACTTGGTAAGTGACAACAGAGAACTTAGTTATCATCATTTGTTCAATGTCTGCCTTTAAATCACCTGTAATGTGTAAGGACTGTATGGCTCGATGTTCCTTCTTCGAGGAGCTTATGGCTGAAAGAATCACTTGCATAAGTAAGATTGCTTCTCACAGACAGCTTTGTGAAAACCAGACAGAATATCTGATTAGTTAGGAAAAGATACTTTCTCTGGTTTGGTTTCTGAGCTTCCATCTCTATGTAGTGACCTCTTTAGAGATCGCTGTACTGGAAATAAAGTCACCGTGGTGTTAGAAGTATAGTAAAGTGGATCATGGGCTTCAGCTCCTCATGGGAGAGCTGACATTTGACGAAGCTTTGTGTTCAAGGTACAGTATGAATATGTAAATGTGGAAGAAAGTGTGTGGATAAAATCAAAAGTTGTCATCAGTTAGGGTTATTTTGTAGTGGTAAAGGGAGGTGGGTTCTAAATTTGCATTGACTACACATGAAGGAAAAAGTGGACAGTTTCTGTATGCATTGAGAGTTCTATTAAATGAACCATTTCATAAGAATTTTTTCACTAAGACTTTATTTGTACAGCAGTTAGTATTCATGAAAGTTGTAACTGTAATTTACCATAAGGATAATACACTGTAATTTATTGTTTATACATGTTAAATTGTAATTTATCATCCATAAAAATTTGGTTAACTTTAATCTTACATTGTGAATGTACTGAGTATAAAAAGTCACAGTTAGTTATTGTTTCTCATCTTTTCAAAGGCCCAATTCCTCTTCTTCAACAGTTGTACTTGCTTCTAGTAAGATTAATCATCTCAAAGTTGTTACTATTAGTAAACTAAAATTTTCACAGGCCTGACAAGGAAAAATGAACTATAAAAATATTAGGAAAAGACATTAAAATAAAGAAATGTTTTATTTATGGTCATAAAGTTTGTTCTTAACTTTCCCCAAGTAATATTTGAAGTGTACTACATTCCCTAGAACTGTGCTGTTTTTGAAGAAACATTAGTATAAACATAACAGAAATGCAGTGTATGACTTCATAGAAACCACAGTCTAGTGGAGACGTAGAAAATAAAGCAAGCATTTAGAATACCTGACGGCAAGTTTGAATGTGGGTCTGTAAATCTGAGAGAACTATGGTAATGCGTAGTGGGCCGTCTTTCCAGATGGAGTCTAAGGTCAGAGAAGACTGAGGAATGAACTAGCCAGGCTCAGGGTTGGGTGGAGCACCTCACAAAAGAGAGGATTAGGAAGAAGAATATGAAGTCTGTAGGAAGCAGACAAGTCGAGTTTGGGCAAAGTACGGACCAGAAGAAAGAACGCGTCTGTTCAGAGATGAGCAGAGAGGGTCCCCGAAACAAGATTTTCCAGACACGGTAAGGGACTTTCTAGGACTTGGGGATCAGCTCAAAATGATACACTAAAAAGGAGAATTACATTTGGGCTTTTAAGAAGTCCGTCAGGCCTGCAGTGTGGGGAATGAGATGGGAATAGAGCATATCGGGGTGATAAAAGAGACAAAGTGTGGGAAACCAGACACCATTTCAGTTTAGCCAGGTGAGATGAGAGGTGGTTTGGAATCCGGGCCAGAATAGGAATCTGAGCATGGATTTGAGATATATTTAAGTAACACAGATAGCATTGCTATGGCAGGGTAATGAGCTGGGTGAGCCGGATATGTGGGAGTCAGGGAAATCCCGGGGTGTTTGGCTTGGACACTGGGAGAGTGAGCTGTACTCCCACGGCAAGAGAGTTCCGGAGCTGCTGCTGAAAGTTCTGTGGAAAATTAATGTATTTGGCCTTGACCTTCAACTGGATCTGTTCTACACGGATTTGGTTATTTGTGGAAGGACCATTTAAGTTATGGGCTTGACTTGGGACATGTCAGCTGGTAGATTATAATTTAAATAATTGGAATTTGTAAGAGTGGGTCATATTCGTGTAAAGTGATGGAATCTACTGATGATGTTAGACAGGATAAAACTTGAGGGTTCTATTCTGAAATACTAAGTTGTGTATACATAGAAGGTTCATTGGGCTAGAGAATTATAATGAAAGCTGGGGAGGAGAGAGGTACAATCTCTATGCCTCATTTAGTAGCTGCTTTTGAACATGTAAGTTGCTGCCTTCAATTCCTACATATGTAGAAAAAGGTAAGCTCTTCTTAAATGCTAGTATCTATCATTTATTTCTGTGAATTCATTACTGAATCCTTGTGTGGTTGTGTGGGAAAAAAACCCAAACTTGAAATTTTATGTTAGCTGATTGTACAATTATGTAAAAGATTATTTTTAAAAAGATGAAATAAAAGTCAAAACAGTTTCTTTAGTGGTTTTGGAATGGTATGCTGTTGCATAGTTCTTTTTACTCCAATTTCTAATTTTTAAAATAATGTGCATTTTAATAGCTCCTGTATTTCCATAGGAAATTATATTGTAAATTTAATTGTAGTTATTCATGAATTTTTGAACATCATTCCATGTAATTTGGTTCATGACTATAATAGAGATTATGACAGGGAACTTCAAATGTTGAAATACAGCATTCGTTTTTTTGTTTTGTTTTTTTGAGATGGGGTCTCAATCTAGCCTTGGCTGGCCTAGACTCACTATGCAGCCAGGGATGAACTTGAGCTTCTGATTCTCTTGTCTCCACCTTCTAAATGCTAGAATTACAGGCACATGCCAACATACCCATCTTCTGTAGTGACCAATCTATTCTTGAAAAGTTTCCTGTTTACCAGTTCCCTTGATTAAGCCTATGTGATGACACGCAGTGTTGGGAATAGCTACACAATTTAACACCTGAGGGCTTTGCTTGGCTCCTTTCTGCCCTTTCTTCTGTAGTTGCTCCTTAAATGTTGCATCATGAGTGAAAAGACATTTTTTTCAGTAGTGATAGCCATACAAATTAATAAACGAGTAGTTATTTCTGCTTATTTCAAAAAATTTAATTAATATATTGACCTCTGGGATTGCAGTAAAGATAAGATACCAGAAAGGAGAAAGGTATAGTTGGTTATCAAGAATCACAATAATGGCCATATGGGTAGAATATATATATATATATATATATATATATATATATATATATTACATATATATATTACATTAGTCATGATGCAACATTTTATTCAAAACTATCTTGAGTAGGATTAGGAAAAGGATAGGAATTTAAGATAGATTTATTAATTTTATGCTAATTTAAACATTAGATGTTTACTGAGAGAGAAGTTTTGAATTTTGCATTCTTTTCAAGTTTACTTAAAGAAAATAGTACCAACAAACAAAAGAGCTGGGTGTGGTGGCTACCTTATGAACCCCAGACAAGATTATTGTGAGTTTCAGACCGTGTGGGCTGCACAGTGAGTTCCAGGTTATCCTGTGAGACCCTGTTACAAACAAACACCCCCATCTAAAACAAGAAAATAACACAAAAAGTCTAAAACACAAACACCGCAAATGGAGCCAGATCTGTCTCAGATCTGTCTCGCAGGTGTCACCTGTTGAGCATTATCAAAGACACTCACTGCCTGCTGACACCAGGTGCACTGCTGCAGGGAGGCCAGGTGCCTTCTCAGTGTGCAGTGGAGGGACAGATGTGTTAGTAGGCCTGTGTCTTGGGTACCCTGCCTCCTGATGCTTTCATTTTTTAGTTGTTCTCTTAAAAGATGGAGAATATTTCTTAGAAAATTTCTTGCTCAAATAGATTTGGATGAGCAATGTTAGGGGCCACACATTGAAAACGAATGGGCTATTGAAGGCAGACTTGGAGTATTTTTACTTAGCAAAGTCTGGTTTCACATTTAATTTTTGCCTATATTGTCATTCACTTGGTACTTTAATTGTGAATATCATAAATAATTAGTAAAGTCATTCTGCAGTACTAACATTCACAGTATTCTCAAGGGAAAAGTGACATTTTTTTTCCACTGGAAAATATTCAAGCATCAAAATAATCAGTTGGTATAGTTTAGAATCTTATGGTTTTAATTAGCATATATTGATTATATATAATAATGGGCTTCATTATCATTTCATATATAAACATGATGTATTTTGATCATATTTCCCCCATTACCCTCTCTTGTCCTTCCCTGCTCTATGACACCTTCTCTTTTTCTAACCAGCTTCTTTTATACTTGCATGTCTTTTTATTTCTTAGTTTCATTGGGTTCCTCACAGGGTCATGGTGAAGGGCTTATTTACAGCACCCTACTGGTGTCTACTCCACTAAAGACAATGTCTCTCCCACGGCAATCATTTCCTTCCTATTAGTCCCTCAGTGAGGTGTGTTGGGCCTCTATGAATGGACATTGACTGTTCTAATCTTCTGTATGTCTTGTGCAAGTAATTACAGTTTTTGTGAATTCATGGGTGCAATGGCCACACCATTTCCAGAAGATAACATTGTACAACATTCTACCCCTTCCTCCAGCTCTTCCTTTCCCCCCTTTCTGTTACGTCCACTAAGATTTGGAGGGAGGAATATAGATGTTCTTTATATAGCTGAGCACTCAACCGCCATGGATGCTCATCACTTTGACTGGTTATGAGTCTCTGTAGGTATCAAGCCCACTGCATGAAGAACCTTCTCTGATCAAAACTGGCTGCAGCACTAACCCATGATCACACACATCTTTGTTTGGAAGGGATTTTAACAGGCACATATTTAAATATCTATTTAAGCAAAACAACAGCAATAGCTTCCTCATCATGATCTGCTATCTCTCCAGCCTTGGGTTTTTGACCAGGTTTACAGTACCAGCTAGGGATTCCCTGCTGTGGAATAGATCTTGAGTGCAATCAGGATGTGGCTGGTTATCTGATTACTGACTTGTCACGATTGCAACAGTAAGCACATCTTGCCTGCTTGGTCATCAACAAGACTGTTAATGACTTTTCTAACCTCACAGCCTAGCACCCTCCAACACTGTGGAAGTGAGACAGCAGAGAGGAAGGTTTCAGCTCAGCTCTAGTTTATTTTCTGTGTGCCTTGTGAACAGAGCATGTATTCAGCAGTAATGTCTAGTTCTGATGAGTACTCAGCAGCAGTGGCTATTGCCTGTATTGGTTTTGGGGTCACTAGGCCCTTACTGACTAACATTTTGCAGGGAGATAGCTCATCCTTAGATCAAAATCCTTTTATCAACTTCTGGCTTTAGGATCAGCTTTAAGCATGTATGCTGGTTATCTCCAAGTTTAAGAACATGTAGGTTTTATCGAATCTTTGAGGCTCTCCTTCCTGTGAGACCAAGTGGTTGTGGCTCTCCTAGGTGGTAACACTTTGTTCTTCCTTCTTACAGACCCAGTTATACATGCATCTGACCAACTACTCTGTGAACAAACATAATGAGCGGTTCGAACGCAATGAAACCGAAGACAAAGGCAGCAAACGTTCAATCAAGTGGTTTACAGAATTCCTACAGGCCAATCAACATGATGTTTCTAAATTCTGGAATGATATTTCAGTAAGATTATTCTAGTCTGTAACTGTAAATGTCTTTCATTAGCATGAAATTTAAATATCACCAACACAAACATGTATGCCACAGCATATGTGTGTGATCAGAGGACACTTATGAGAATTGATTTCACCTTTTTTATAAATTTGAGGATCAAATTATGGTCATCAGGTTTGGTGGCAAGCATCTTCACCTGCTGAGTCAACTTGACAACCTCATTCAGTTTTTAACAGAGGGGAGTAATATGATTAGTATGATCAAATGTATGCATCTGAAAGACAAAAACCAGGCATGGACTGGATTAAAGCCAATATTAAGGATAGGCAGTGAGGACACCTGGGAAGCTCCTATAAGTAGCTGAGGTGAAAAGATGGCTTCAAGTGAACCACAGTGAAAGAGAAACAAGGAGGTAGACCCTAGGTCTGATTGTCCATAATGCAGAAGAGGGTGTGTCTCGCTGTGTTCAGGAAGAAGGAAGGGAGAAGGGATGTGATATTTGAAATAGAATAGGAAGAAATTTAAGTATAGAATTAGTTTTGAAGATTAAGGGAAGGAGTTTTACTTGTTTGTATATCCATCCATCCACCCATTCATCCACTCATTCATTCAAATACTCCAAGCCCTTAGATCACTGTCACAGTTGGACTAAGAAAATATCCTATACATTCTGGCGTTCTGTTTTTTTATTTTATTTATTTATTCTTTACCAACACATTAACTTCTATTTGAGTTTGGGTCTTTGAGAGAATTCTTGTATAACCTACTGGGCTGCCTTAGTGAGGGATGTAACAGTGGAGGACCAGCCAGAGAGCAGTGGTCACAATGTCCTCTTCAGACACTGGTTTTAGACAGTACTTCTCTCATGCAATTGAGTTAGGAGAAAGTTCTCCAACAAGATGAAGAGAGGGTATGGAGATAAACTTTTATGTTAGATCCTGAGGTATAGTTTTTAGATGTGAGCCCCAAATACTAATTTAAGCCTTTTAATCTCTGACACATTCCCTGATCTTATCTACAAATGTGATATGCAGTTTGTTAGATAGAGTGCATGTAGTGATTACAAGTAACCTGTTAAATGAGAATATTTTTAAAATGCTCCAAATATGTTATTATAAACATTAAAGGGTCTGTGTGCATGCAGTTATTTGAACTGATCTTTATTTCTGAGTGGCAGCAATGAGGTTAATACCCCTCTCCCTTTTCCTCTCCCATGTAATATTGCTTCCACCCAGTGGTAGTATATTTAACCTGAGCCATAAGATTGATTCCTGAAAAATGACAGACCAGCAACAGAACAGTTGTAGGTGGAGTGTAGCTAGAGTTTTTCCTGGTCCTGCCTGGCCCACGGTCAGGATAAATCTCTCTCACCCACCAGTCCCGCAGCCGCTTAGACACAACCAAGAAAAACACACAGAGACTTATATTGCTTACAAACTGTATGGCCGTGGCAGGCTTCTTGCTATCTAATTCTTCTATCTTAAATTAACCCATTTCTATTAGTCTATAAGTTGCCACATGGCTCGTGGCTTTCCCGTACCTTATATCTCACTTGTCATGGAGGCAGCTGGCAACGTCTCTCTGCCTCAGCCTTCTAACTTCCCAGAATTCTCTTCTCTCCTTATCCTACCTATACTTCCTGCCTGGCTACTGGCCAATCAATGTTTTATTTATTAACCAATCAGAGCAACACATTTAACATACAGAACATCCCACAGCAGTGGAGTTTTCCTGTCTGGACTGTCCGCTCCCAAATAAGCTTAATAATATATTAAGCTCAGAGGCTTAATATAAGTTATAAATGCTTGGCCAATATCTCAGGCTTATTACTAGTTAGCTCCTATTTTTTAAGTTAACCCATATTCTTTATTTACACTCCGCCACATGACAGTACCTTTATTAGTATGGCATGTTCATCTCCTGGTCCCTCTGCATCTGGCTGGCAACTCCTCTGACTCCTCCCTTCTTTCATCATTCTCAGTTTGACTTTCCTGCCTGACTTCTAGCCCAGCTATTAGCCTGTCAGCTTTTATTATTAAACCAGTCACAGCAGCATATATTCACACAGTATACAGAAGGATTATTCCAGAGCAAGCAGTAGTTAATTAGCTAACACTTAGTGAAGGTTTACTCTATTATAGCTCTGTGCTGGAATTTGTGTCTGGGCTCTCAGCCTGTCCCTTGGTGGTTTACATTCAGGAAAAACAAGACACAGAGTTGAAGCACCATGAGCACACTGCCTAGATAAGAAGCATAAAAGCAGGCATAAACCCATAAGTCTGACTAGGGAGTCCAGGTCTTATCCATCTCTGGTTCCCTGTTTTCAGACAGTAGGCGTTAGGAAGCCAGTATAAGCAAAGGGCAGTCAAGTAGCTAGCTTTCCCATATTCCACTGTGTGTTTCTGCATGGAAAAATTTGATAGTTTCAAAAAGTTACTTATTTTTATTTTATGTGTGTGAACATTTTGCCTGTGTGTATCTATGTGTACTGTGTGTGCCTGGTGTCTGTGGAGGTGGTTAAATGGTTGTGAGCTGCCCTGTGGGTACTGGAAACTGAACTCGGTTCCTCTGCAAGAAGTTCTCTTAACCACTGAGGCAAATCTCCAGCCGTGATAGCCAGGAGGTGTTCCCTTCTCAGAGAAACCTTTACAGAGTACAAACCAGCACCATGAATAAAAGCAGCAGCCACAAGCTCTTTCTTCCTGGCCCTTCAACGTCTGACTAAGTGGAGGTCCCATAATGCTGTTTGGGAATTGCTGTACCGTTCCTAGAATTTTCTTCTTTATCACTCTTTTCTCCTTCTGTAAAGGGCTAGCCTATGCTCCTTTAAAAAAAAACTTATTTGTTTACAATTTTTTTTAGCATCCCCAGTGTCTGACACTATTATGGATGCTGGGATGGTGTAAAAAATAGGAAGTACAAGGGTCTTATTCAAACAGCAAGAGAAAAGTGTCAATTGATTGCATGCTATGTGTAATAGGATGCATTTTCAAGCATGGCTGCTTTTCAAGCATGGTTGTGCCCTCTCTGAATATTAGTGACCAGGCATGGGAATCTAAGGGAAGATGCTCCAGGAGATGGGACAGCACAGAGCCCCAGGTGGGAAGAAGTGTCACCTACTAGAGAAATTCAGAGAGAGTGTGCCCAGAGCAACGGGTAGCAAAGGGCAAAGGGCAGAGCCGAGGAAGTGAGGTAGAGAGCAGGTCGAGCAGCCAAAGAGCATGCGCGAACCCACCCAGGATGCTCGTTTGTCCCCAGGCCATTTTCGTATGAAACTCCATCCAAATAAGGCATTTTCATATCTTTCATCCCAACCTCGATAGGAATTGGTGGTAAAGACGTTGATCGTAGCGGAGCCCCACGTCCTGCATGCGTATCGGATGTGCAGACCTGGTCAGCCCCCAGGAAGCCAAAGCGTCTGCTTCGAAGTCCTGGGGTTCGACATCTTGTTGGATAGAAAGCTAAAGCCGTGGCTTCTGGAGGTAAGGGATTCTCCAAGAAGTTAAATAAAATAAAATAAAATAAAATAAAAAGCTAGCACTATTCTTAAGTGTTTAAAAACTGAGTTTCAAATGTGTACTTGGCACAGGTGTCCCCAACTCACTGGCTGGAATGAGGCCTGAATGGAGTATGTGGGAGGAAGTGAATGAAAATTCTGGGACTAGAACACTTCCAAAGATGAATCAATATGATTTTATATCGCTTCCTCTCATTAGCATCGAGTGAACTGAAGTGTGAGCTGTTGGCTGGTTCTATGAGTATTTTCTCAACCTGGTGGCATCTACCTACCACTTCATGAGCTCTGGCCATTGTATCTCCCCTGGGCGGGTACCGCCTCAGGCCCCATCTTTAGTGTGTCTTTAGGCACTCCACGGGAGGAGGGGCTCCAGTTGGCTCACTATTCAGTACCCAGTACTCAACACTGCAGTGAACATAAATCCTCCCTTATGGCCATTCGATATTCCTGGAAACTGTATGTCTTTGGATTTGCTGCCTGTCCCCTCTAGTTATTATTATTTTTATTATAAATTGTCACCTAACGTGAAACAATGTAAAGGATATAAAAACAACCTCTGCTCAAGATGCTGGTGTGTTGTGCAGTCACATTTATATTTGTGTTACTCACAGGGCACCTTACAAGCCTTGTCCAGATGTCTTCTATGCAGATGTTTTCTCTAGGACCCCTCATCTGGGGTCACAGAAAGCACCTGCCTTCTCAGGGATACTCATAGACTCATTTGAACTGTCTTTTCAGAATGAGTTATATTTTAAGGGACATACTACCACAGAAGCTGAGGTCAACCACTGCCTTTCATTCCAGAGGGATGTCCCTCTTTTAGGTTAGTGACTTAGAAGCCGGAAGTTACATCATAGTCTCCAGGTTTCTGTAAGCAAACCTGAATGTGTGCTAAGTAAGACTTTGATCCAAAACATTTTGAAGGAAAGCACACTTTGCCTAATTTGAGTGAGGGAGAGAAGGAGAGAAAGAGAAGTGTATTCATATATTCTGGACAAACAACACGTATTATATATCCAGGAAAATTCATCTTTCTGCTGGCTAGAATTTCAGTCAGCCTTGGTTCTAGAAATAAGACGTGGCCGAGTTGTGCTTTCTTTGCTTCTGTCGTCCTTGGGTGGAAGAGTACTTGACCGTGTACCGCAGCGAATCCTCCGTCCTGGGAAGGCCTGGATCCTGGAGAGTGAACGCTTGCACCTTGGTGGCTGTTTCCTCCTGCTGCTCTGCTTTCCTCTGCCCCTGCCCTGGTCATTTCCCCCGATGGGTGGGGAAGTGAAGGCATGCTCGTTTCACGAGGATGAAATAAAAGGATTGTTGGGAATAAGAACTTTATATAAAATGTGAATTAACCTTTAAAAAAAAGTGTTTGTTGATAGGAGCGTTTCATCAGATTGCTAAATTAGAACTGACTGAGCAGTCCGATTCTGTATGTTTTTTTTTTAAAAGGCTCACAATAAACACATTTCTTCATTCTTTATCTCTCATCATTGTTTCTCCCTTACTCAGCTCAGAATCATTAATTAAAAAAAAAAAAAAAAACAAGCTCCACAGCGTTGCTATCTGTGAATAGCGAACAGTTTGCATGTTCAGATTGGTAAATGTCCTATTGTGAGAGCTTGCTCTGCATTTTGCTGCCAGCTGATAACGCTGTGGGTCTCATGCTCAGTGTTAAAACCTTCTGGCGCCACCACGTGGAATAAGGCGGAGGTGCCTCTGAGTATGGAATGCCTAGCTACTTAGAATCTAGGCGATTATTGGCAGTGGCAAGCTTAAAGAAATTTCCAAGCATTAAAACCATTCTCAAGGTGAAAAACTGAGCCCAGCCTGTGCCTCTTGTTAGGAATGTCTTCCAAGTGTCTGAATCAGTGCTTTACGAGATGAAAGTTAATGAATCACTGTTAAGCCAGGTAGAGAGAAACAAAATTTCTATTTTCAGAAGCAACAGAACTCATCAGGAAGATCTTAGGCAGTGAAAAGAGGGAGCTGGTCCTTCCTACAAGCTAAGCATGCACATATTTGTAACTATTACGATGTCAGAAATAGTTCTACTATGGGTTTTCACAATTCTCAAAGTAAGTTACTTTTTTCTAAGGCTAGATGATATGGGCCAATAGGTTAGAGTGGCCAGGTAACGCCGGCAGCAACACTAAGCCTATAGAGCAGTGGTTCTTCACCTTCCTAATGCTGCGACCCTTTAATACAGTCCTCATGTTGTGGTGACCCCAACCATAACATTATTTTGTTGCTACTTCATAACTGTAATTTTGCTACTGTTATGATCTTAATGTAAATATTGTGTCTTCTGATGGTCTTAGGAGACCCCATGTGAAAGGGTCATTTGACTTCAAAGGGATCGTGACCCACTAATTAAGAAACCACTGCTGTAGAGAGAGGAGTTGGTGCTTGCAGATGTTTTACTGCAGTTCTTTGCCATTGGGTAATAGGAAAACAGGTGTGGCAGTGATGACTGGAGCATCTTCCATGTAGAGCTCTGAGACTGATGACTGGAAATCATCAGTGAACATAAACTGATGATTATGTATTAACCTCCTAACGTCCAAGCAAGCTCATTGTTTTCTCTGTAAATTTCAGATTAATCGAGCCCCAAGCTTTGGAACTGATCAGAAAATAGATTATGATGTGAAAAGGGGAGTTCTGCTAAATGCGCTGAAGCTACTGAACATCAGGTGAGCCTTTCCTCCACTCGCTGGGGTCCCCCAAACATCAGGTGAGCCTTTCCCTCACTCACTGGGGTCCCCCAAACATCAGGTGAGCCTTTCCTCCACTCACTGGGGTCCCCCAAACATCAGGTGAGACTTTCCCCCACTCTCTGGGGTCCCACAAACATCAGGTGATATTTTCTTCCACCTGCTGGGGTCCCCCAAACATCAGGAGAGCCTTTGCCCCAACTCACTGGGGTCCCCCACCTTTGGCACTGATAAAGCATTCACACATGAAGCTGGCTTTGCATCAGGAATCTTTATATATATATATATATATATATATATATATATATATATATATATTTTTATTTTACAATACTATTCAGTTCTACATAACAGCCACAGATTCCCTTGTTCTCCCCCTTCCTGCCCCCCTCCCCTTCCCCCCAGCCC